AGGGCCTGCCTGTTTTGCGCCGGCGTATCATCGAAGAGCTTCCCTTCGGCGTCACGCCCGCGGTATAGGGCCCGGCCATACCGAACGTCATATAACAACAATGGTAATGGAAACGTTCTAGCATGCGTCTGTCGCCAGGCAGTTGTGCTAGTTTTAACATTGGTGCGCGGGGACATCCAGAGAATCGAAAAGATGGTCCATCAACCAACGCGTGTCAGCAACTAGCACGACTCGTCCATATACTTCCACGTCATCTGATGTTTGCTATCTCGACGTCCCGTCCCGTTAATGACCAATAACCAGTCCCGGGGCCCCTCTCTTCGGCCCGCCCCCACCCTTGGCAGCACCCTCTCGCAGTGTCCCTCTCCCTGTCGGAGCCCTACCCTCCAGCATTGCTCCGCCCTCCGCCGGTGCCCCATTCCCCACAAGTGTCCCATCCCCAGGCGCTCCCTCATCGTTAAGCGATGATACCCATCCTCTGGAGAGACCCCCACCCTCCGGCCAGGCCCCACCCTCCGGCGAGGCCTCCCCCCGTCCGTCGGCCGCGTGACGCCCACCCAATGGTCACTGGCCAGCCCGTCCGGCATGCCATGTCTAGGTCCGCCCACTGTCCGGGTGTGGCTGCCAGCTCATCCCCGCGGCTTGCCTTGGCATTGTTCGAAAAAGAAACAGGTGAAGTTGTTTTAACAGAGTGATGTCCTCTTTGGAGATTAACACAAAAATCGCCCTCAAAACAGCTTCCGCCAGTCGGGCAAACAGTTGTGAGGTGAAGCTATTTTGATAGGTTGGGGAAATATGATGGTTTAGTGATGATTTGGTTAGTCACGAATTATATAAGAAACGCTTGTGGGGGGCCTAGAACCTTTCAAGGGATAGAGGAGGCCTGTCTCTGAGACGAATGCGTGTCGAGCAGGGAAGAATGATCGTCGCCGAACAAGACAGGAATGTGAGTAGGTGTTGGTGCGACGCTGTTTATAGTAGGAGGGGCATGGGGGGTTAACTTATAACTTATTTAGGTTAAAATTTGAAGTTCCTGCGTCATGACCTTTGGGTCAAATAAATTCAAAAAGGTCAAATTCCAGGTTAGTTCCCCACGTACCCCCAAAACCTAGATATCTGTTGTAAGCAAAAGGTTACATGCTCGTTTAAGATCTGTGAACTGGTTCGACCACTTGTAGGGCATGTTGACCAAAATCATACAAAACTGCTTTGAGTTTTGCATTTGAATGAATGACAAAGATTATGCCAGGCATTATGTTCTTAAAAGGCGGAAGTGTTGACCAAGTGTCACTTTAGATCATTAGCCTATTATGACCTATACAAAATCCATGGAAGATATACCATGCAGTGACTGTTATCAATAAATTCGAAATGAGCACCATAAATCGCCCTATACGGCAATCCATGAAGTAATAAAACAGACTGGCTTTGACCTTGCTCTTACCTTCATACCCAACCTTTGGTCAATTCAATTTGTTCATTTTATTGTTGTGTTGCCTCAGAAAGTATCTCAGAAGTGTGTGGCTTTGTTAAACACTTCGTTATTCCATCAGATTGAACAATTCCCTAGAAGTTGACTTTGCTGAATCCATGGTCTAACTTTGACATGTCGTTGATCAGTAACTTCACAAGGTGTATCTTAACTTTTTATACCAAAAGATTTAATATCTAATTGTCTATAGTTGTACAAAATTTGGTGTGGCTACGCCGCGCCGGTCGGAAGTCATTCCGTAAAACCTTCGGGGCATCAATTTGACCCCACCCGAGCGCATGGTAAAATCAGGGGCAGGTCATGAGGTCAAGCTGAAAAGACAGAGCGAGTCGACATGAACAAGCAAGTAGAAGGCGTCATGCTTGAAAAGTGATTAGTAGATAAACGCATCAAAAAATGAGGACGCCAAAGCCGATTTTGAAGTCATTCCATTCCGAGCGCCTCCATAGCATTATCATTCTCTTCACGAACGTACCTAACGCAGCTGCCTAAGCGTGCAGTACAACTTGGATCTTTGTATAAGATAGCACTCCCACTTGGAATTGCACATCTCTGTTCACTATGCTTCAAATGACATCACGTACCAGAGTTACTATGCTAAACAAGAGACTCTGGGGTCTCGAAACCTATTCAATTATTTCAAGATTTATGACGAATAACCTCAAACCAGCTTTGCGATAGTCCCAGGCGAGCCAAAAATGCCAACAATTGACAGGTTACCCAGTCGCTCACTGAAACATGCATTCAGAACAAGTCCTCAATCCTATCAGAAATTGGACCTAGCCGGTGGTCTGAAGGGCGTGGCTTGTTGCGTCGTTACGCATTTATGAATCCGCTCATTCGATAACGCGAATTATATCAATGTTGCGCATCAGAAAGGTGATACAGACTCTTCTTCTCCACTGTTGGATTCTGTTTGTTACCCCCCATTGGGGCTTACCTGTTAACAACATTGTGGATGTGCTCCTGTAACAGCCATGTCGCCATTTCGAGACCCGAATAAGATAAAGCCGCGCTTGTCAGTCAAGCATTTTGAGCCTCAGTGAGATGATACTTGGTGTCAATCGCATGGCTTGGGACAAATCAAGTGAAAGAGCAGGGAACTAGCAAAACGTCCAAAATCGCAGCGTCCAGTCCTCCTATCATCCAAAATCGCAACATCCAGTGTTCATCGCATTCAAAATGCGTCCAATACCGGCCCATTGGCGGAGTTCATAGCATCCAAGCTCGCAACGACCAAAATCACAAAAACCAATGTAAAATGCATCCAGCGATCACGATATCCAATGAACAAGCTTTGATTAACACTTCTTCAACCTTTGGACGTCGTGAACGTTGAATGTTATGAATATTATTTCCCCTGTCCAGGTGCATTGGACGATTTCCGGATGTTATGAAGGCTGAATGCAACGTTTTGTTTTGTTTTTCGCTGGATGCGTCGACGTTTTCATCGTGGGACGTTTTGAGCTCCGAATGTTTCAATGCGTATCCAGAGTTCAAGAGCATTCAATACAGTTTATACTTCTCCGACAATAAGTAAAGCTGCTATATCGACGGTTGTTCATGTCATGACGGTCTGCTACGTGATGCCTCCCAGCAAACTAGCTGACTTGCAAACAGTCCGGTTCAAGGATCGTACAGGTTCGGCAGTTGCGGCGGATATCGTCAAGAATCGGAGAAGAGAGACAACGCGACCTTTACCCGGGCTCCTTCCATGCAACGACTTTGGTTTACGAAGCATTATTCCATAGAAGTGGATGGCTAATTCTCTCCACCCTTCGGGCCCATGCCCCTTCACCTCCGCTTTCCTGGTTAGCTCAGGCCGGGTCGGAGATGACGATGGCTGACATTTCGTCCCCATGTCTCCCCACTTGCGCCACCCCAAGTGGCCCAGGCCGGATCGGAGATGAAGATGACTAACACCTCGGCCCCATGCGTCCCCGCCTCCGCCACCCCAGTGAGCACAGGTCAGGTCGCCCATAGTTCAGGATAAAGGTATGCACCACAAGCTGCTTGGCAGAGGACGCGCGACCTGAAGCCGCTTGTTTAGACTTGATACATTTCTTCAAGATCTTTGGGCGATCTCTACAGCCACTGAGTGCCGTCGGTGATTTGTATATTTGTTTCAGTTTTCAGCTTAGTGGTAAGCGCTTAATTTTCTTTGTATTGGGATATACATCAGCCTTCTCGGCACGTTAACACCATTCTAAAACTACACAATAACTCAAAAGGGGAGCTCATCGACTTAGACCCCGTGTCTTACTTCGATATACACCCAGGTGAGCTTAAGGTCAGTCACTGTGGCTAATCGAGCGAGCCAGGGAGCCGGGGTGGATGAAGCCAAATTGGGCGACAGGGGAGCGGGGGGGGGGGCAAGTCTGGTTCTGGTGACAGCACAGGACGTCACCAAATGGTGTCACTCGCGTTAGACCTTGAGCTTGCATCCCCCCCCCATAGTGATGCAAAAATAACGAATAAACATCACAGCCCGCTGGAGCTGAGCTGAGCCTGACCCCAGCAGCGCCGCCAGCCTGTGAACGCGACCGCCATCGGCGTGTGCTGCCGCCGCCCGCAGGTGTTGTGTGACCGCAGCATCGCGGCGCGGCGCTGCCTGCTCTGACGCGGCGCATCTGGGATATTCCCGCTCCCGGTTCCCAGTGATCACGCGCGCGCCGCGTGCTCCGCGTGGCGGCGGCTGCTGCGAGCACGACCCGTGAACCGGTGAGTTGGCCCGCCCCCTGCACCAGTGCGGCCGAGCCGCTGTTTTTCACCGTCTTGCCCAATGCGAGCGCTCAAGCGTTGATGTTACGTTCTGTACTAATGGTGCCCGTTAATGGTTTGCCACAGTCACGGAAATATCATCCCTCGATCTGGCCACAAGTGCACGATGACATGTACGGAGCTGACTGAGCTGGAACCATTATGAATTCAGAGTTTGTATGCGGAGTTATTGACACGCAATATATCAGGAGGTGCTGGTTACACGACGCTACCGTTTTAGCTATTTGACGGTGCTCAAATTTAGACAAACATTGGCTATTTAGACGGTACTCGACGTTTGAAGCTGGGCTATGTTCACGGGGCACGAGGCACTCGTGATCCGTGAACACAGCTTGGAAACTCGAGTGCTGACAATATGATCAATGTTTGCACAATAATGCTGTTTAACCAGTACATCTTGGTATATTGAAGTTCGATAGCTTAGGATACGAACTTTCAGCTCATAACAGTGAAGAACCGGGGGCTCAAGGTTCTATCCGTTTATAAAATAGAACTTGAAATTGCATTGTAGCGATGTAGCGGAAACGTCGTTTTAATTTTCTTTAGTACCAGACAGCGTGCACCTTTAAAGAGCACTGTTAAGTTGTATTCAGCGGTTACATACCAGTGTCAGTAAGCAGACCCCTAAACTCGGTGCTTCCCCTCGTCAAAATGTCCCTGCCTATGTCTGGGTGACGTCCGCGGCACCGTGAGACACCGTTCAGGAATGCGGCACAAACGCACTCACCGGCGCCGGCGCCGTGGTGCTTCATGGGGAAGAAGAAGTCGTTCATCTCCTGCGTCGGAGATCTCTCTCGCATCGGCGGACTGAAGCCCCTGCAACAAAACACGCCACGTGTCGGACTTCCCGCGCGCCACCGACCAGCTCATCGGCTACGCTTCGTAAAACGAACAGAACAATGCAGTAATTAAAACTCAATAGCATGTTATATCGCACATCTTACACACCTTACACGTTTGTCATTAAAAGTTATGAACTGTTTTTAGATCAGTAGGGGTAATCTCTGTCACCGCCAGTAGGTGCTGCCCTGTAGTTTGGGTCCTGAGATGGGTGTGTCCCGCCACCCTCACCTGCTGACTTGCCCCGAGCACTCCGCGTAAGAATACCTTACATCACACGCCCACATAAAGTGGGTGGGGCGCCAGCGATATGTACCCGGCACTTATCAAAGCTACTGCATCGGACGTAACTTTAAAAAAAAACTGATGAGAACCGCACAGCCAGCACGTCAGCAGCCCGTCCACGGAGTTACGTGTCGGGTACGCATATGAAATTAAAATGAAGGGGTTCAAGGTCTACGCGGGAAAGATATGCGATGCGAGCACGCCTAGTGAAAAGGTGACATTGATGATCAGTACTCGGTTCTGAACATGTAGTGTCGACACGGATGGACGCACCGGATTATGTCGATCAATGAGTTGGCGGTTTATTATCACAACGCAGATCAGTGTTGATAAACATACGGCCAAGGACGTGATTTAGACCAGTTTAGGCCTTAAGACCTAAATGCATTGCTCTTTTTTAACACGTATGAGAAAATATAGGCAAATCTGCAGATCGGTTCTGGAAGCAGGTCAGGGCATTCGCTTCTCGCCCATTCCTCCCTACTGACACCGCAACACTAATGACTCTTGCACACATCACGGGTGTAGATTAGCATGCAATGCCTAGTGACACCATTGCCATACGCTGCGAGAGCGCTGCCCGATGAGCAGCGCTGATAATGAACAACGTACAATGCTGGTGCATATCAGCAAGCGACATCGTTACTGCTTACACACATACTACAACCTTAACCAGTACGTAGCCTAAACAAGCATGCCATTAAATGTCTCTACGATCATGGTGGTGATGGTGGAGGGGGGGGGGGGGGGCAGGGACAGGCCCGCCCGCTCCACCTCGCCCCACCCCGTCCCGCCCCGCCTCGCCCCGGCCGGGGCCTCACCTCTGGTTGCTGATGGTGTAGACGTGCGGCAGCGGCTCGAAGTCTAGCGCGTTGAACGACAGCCCGTTGATCATGGGGTCGGGCGTGTGGCAGGTCTGCAGCGGCGGGTCGGGCCCGAGGCTGGCCGCCGGCGGCAGCGTGCCTGGCAGCGGCCCCGGCTCCGGCGACGGCGTGTACTGGTAGCGGGGCGGCGTCAGCGGCTGCCAGGCGGCCGGCTCGCAGCCGAAGTTGGGGTTGTTCGGCACGTAACTGTCCATCTCCGCCAGCGCCTGCAAGATTTATAGGACGCCTTACAACGCTGCCGCCGCCCGGAAAGCCGATACGACGCGGCCGCTTCATCAGTGCCGTGTAATTAGCGCCTATTTGGGAAGCCGGCGGCAAGCAAATTGGTTGCCAGACGACTGGGATGGAATCAGTGGTCACCATGGCGACGGAGGCTGGAGCATGGCGGCGGCGACCAACCAGCAGCCGGCGCGCGCCGGGGGAGGGGCCCGGGGAAGTGGTTTGACTGCCTCATCTTCTGCGCTCGGTGCGCTTGTCTGGCTGTGTCGGTACTGGAGGTGGAGCTGGCGGCAGTGGCAACTGCATTCTCGGCACTCAGACCCCTAACCCCGGAGATTGCTGTTGCGTCTGTAAGCGCTGGTCGGATGGTGCGTGTAAGGTTTTGCAAGGGCGAGACGGTAGCTCGGCGTCCGCGGCCGCACATTCACGGGGCTTCATCTGCTTTCGCGTCCGACAATCGCGGGCATATTGCTCATGAATATCGCTGTCGCATTGTGAGTTTCTGAACGCCTTAGTCTCTAAACACTTCAGGTTGTGCAAACACTGCATAAAACTGCGCTACCAGTGTTCAAGGCGAAAAAAGATAAGGACGATAACACTTTAGGGATCCTTATCTTATATTGCGTGACAATGACGTTTGCCATATGAATAGCTCCCAATAAATGATTTCAGAATCCAAAGGGTCCCTCGGCAGGATCACAAAATAGTTATTTGATCCCAAATGATGCTCCGCCAAAATTCAAGTAAAAATCAAAGCCTTAGAAATATATCTTGTTCATACAAAAAATACGTTCGGAATTCGGGAAATCGTTCAACGAAACCTTTAAAACTATTCCTGGATCTTAAAAATTCGGTGTCCAGGAACGAAGAGTCTGACTCCTACCATACATTTCTGAGGCATTATGTGTTGGTTGATGCGGTTATTTAGCTTAAGCCCGGCACTTTGAGGTGGTCTAAGCCGGCTGTTTTTTTTGCCAGGTTATACGTGAAACGTGCTGACTACACAATTTTCTCATGATACGTGTTTTAAGAAACACCTCTGTGGTTTTCAAAATTAATTTAAATCATGTAGACTGACATGGTTCGAGCTAGTAAGCACGTGACCGTGGGTGAAAGTTTCAATACGTTGGGAGGAGAGCCCTCTATCAACATTTCTGGACTTTGACGCGGAATCCGTGTGCATGCAATCCATCCAATCCAAGGTGGAAAAATTACTCCAAATCCAAAAAGTTTCTGTCGTTTCAAAGAACGTCCACTGCATATCCCGATGCACAAGCAACCCTGAGATGCGCGGTAAGCAACGGGCAGGTTTGTGTATAAGTGAAACGGCTAAATCAGAAGCAGCAACGTTTGTGGTATCCACATACAAATTTAAACGAAGAAAAGAAATGCTACAGACAATTTATTGGATTATTTTTGGACAATTCGATTTGCTTTAAAGGGTGATCCACATTTGGATGGGGTTTGTTCTCAACGTGCCATCTTGAAGAGCATTCGGTGCAGTCCGCAGCCCTGTCCTTTTTAAGACCTAAACCTTTTTAGTTCTTAAGCTACATGCCCGCGAAGATGTGCAGACTTTTTCGGGAAGGCTATTTCAAGGTCACCCAGTCAGTCATCCATGACGCCATAATGAGGTCATTAAAATCCGGCTATTCCGTTAGCCACGCGGCGAACAAAAGCGATATAATTGTCGAGTCGTTCACATCTGGCCTTCGTGAGCACGATGTCCTGATATGACGGCCAAAAATTGTCTCTCAATCAATATTTTGCAAGGTACGATGACGTATTCAATCACGCATTGTGGAACATGTTTACGAAACAGAGAAACTGTGTTGTCTAGAGCAGTCGTCTCCACCTAGAAGTGTACGAACGTTGCGAAGTGCGCATATTTCATCAAATCTCATGTTTGCTTCAATATCTTCAAATGTAAACATTCCTTTTCAAGGGAGTTTCCCACCTTTGCGGCATATTACAAAAGATTCTTTAGTGAAATCTCAGCACCAGTTAGTTTACCAATAGCACTGAGTTTTGCCACAGCAGCACCACTGAGACATATTAAGGATATCAATTGTAACTATTTTCGAGTCGTGCAAATTACGCTGTCCAATGTTTTTTTTTAACAAGGCTGCACTTCTTCCCTGCAGTCGTAACCGCCATCGTCATGACAACCTCCTTGCACACCTCTACTATTGCAAATAAAAGAAGGTATGTAATGTTTGTTTGCCCCAGCGACAATGATCTGATACCGAGAAGCGCCTGGTATGAACTTTAAACTAGTGCGTCACTTTGGGCCATGTGATGTTCCCATTCCTTAAACCAAGGTACGCCTCGAATAGAGCCACCGTGGTAAGCGCGATAGGAGAGAAATCAAAGTCATAGCATAACGAATTGACGAATTCGCGGCATAATAAGTTCTTTTTAAAAACTTTTTAAGCAAGGTTTCATGCTTTCGTAGCATTTGTTACACTAGCATTTTAGCACCTTGGTGTTTTGGCACCAAACATTACAGAACACACACACTGGAAAGAGCAAGACAAATGAAATGCATTACTTTCATAGTGGTGAGCAGGGAGTCAAATGAAATTTCTCCCTCGGGGTCAGCTGCTTCAAGTCAAAATTCTAAGCTATTCGGAAGGATTTAGAAAAAACTGGTATCACTAAGCAAATCGCAAGCATTTGATGTAGCAATAAGTGGAAAGTACCAAAGCGGTGATGCTCTCTTTAAAACATTTCCATGAACCAAACGCTTATTATCACCTCTTGAAAAAGTTTGTGGTGTGCCGAAGCAAGCGTTTTGGCGACCCTCCACCGAAGGAGCATACCCAGGCCATGGTGGAAGGGGGGGGGGGGGGGGGCATTGTAATGCCCATGAAATTTCGTCCTCTCGGAAAGGAATATTTGGGACTCGTTGTTGTGTCCCTGGAATTTGATATCTCCTGAAAGTTAAGGCTTGGAGGGTTCCAAAATACAGGTTCCGGAGCCTCTTCGTCATGACGTTTTGTCACCCTTGGGGAAGCCCAAACCTTATGGCTGACTCGAGAGGTTACCAGTGAAAGCGATGTAATGACTGTGCATTGCCGGGTAGCATCTTGCGACGGCCCAAAAATGACCGGGTGGAGTTATTTCACTGATTTCCGAAAATGTTAAGTGTTAAGAATTCAATTATCACCTGTAAGTTGCACACCACTCCGATCCTATAACACAGCCCTACCTTGCCCGTTAAATGACCCGATCTGCTGGCCGGACTTGGCTCCCAAGCATTGACCACAGAGACTCCCTTAAGACTGGTGCTCCCCAGAGCGAGCTGGCGCGCGTCGCCAGCCCACGGACAGAGCCATGCCTGTGTGTGTGTGTGGCGGCCCAGACGCCTGAGCTGGGTCAGCCACACCTCAGGTAATCCGTGCGTGCAATTGTCAGCAGCTGCTGGCAGGGTTGGCGCGGCTCAGCGCCCGCCGGCAGCTGCTGGCAGGGCTGGCGCAGCTCAGCGCCCACCAGCAGCTGCCCGCCAGGGCTGACGCAGCTCAGCGCCCACCAGCAGCTGCCCGCCAGGGCTGACGCAGCTCAGCGCCCGCCGGCAGCTCAGCGCCCGCCGGCAGCTCAGCCTCCCCCATGGCCCCTTCGCCTGGCCATTCCACTCCAGCAGCCTGCCGTCGTCCCGCTGATCGAGCACTCCCACACCTGCCGTCGTCCCGCTGATCGGGCACTCCCACACCTGCTGTCGTCCCGCTGATCGGGCACTCCCACACCTGCTGTCGTCCCGCTGACCGGGCACTCCCACACCTGCTGTCGTCGCGCTGATCGGGCACTCCCACACCTGCCGTCGTCCCGCTGATCGAGCACGCCCACACCTGCTGTTGTCCCGCTGATCGGGCACTCCCACACCTGCTGTCGTCCCGCTGACCAGTCTTTTCCACACCCGCTCACAACACACGCGCTTTTATCGGCTTTGGTCCGATAACCGTCAGTTGCAGGGGAAACTGTTCAAATCCTGAACCCAATCAACCGTATGCAACCAAGAAATTCAGATCAACAACAATTCTGGTCAGTAGTAGCGAAACCAAACGTTTGTGTCAGGTCAGGTCTTTCAAAATGGCCCGTAAGTTTGGATACGGCGGCGTTTTTACGTCGTCGTCACGTATGAATTTGCTGTTTACATTCGGAAATTTGGTCCCATGGGCCAAATAATAAAAAACTGCCACCGTCAAATAACGAACAGGTATCTGATTACGAAACAAATCTGCTTCGAGGATAAAATCTACCGACTAAGTGTATAGACTCGACCACACATGATTAGCTTTGCTTCTGTTTACCTTGGGTTGCGTGCAGTTCAGGTTTGGTATCAAATTAGGCCCTTGCCTAATAATGCGCGCATGAAAAAGTCTTTTGAACACCAAAGGTGACCGTGCGGGTCACGTGCAATGGGTAATATATAGTTAATTCCCAGCCGCCTTAACCAAATTGCAAACTGGATGTAAATGGCGGGGGGGGGGGCTTGGTCATGCCTAACAGTCGGACCTCCTCCCCACATATTTACCTTGGGCGGGGGGGGGGGAGCTCGGTCATACCTGAGAGTCTAACCTCCTCCCAACACATTTATCTTGGAGGGGGGGGGGGGGCTCTGTCATGCCTGAGAATGTGAACTCCCCACACATTTACCTTTAGGGGGAAGGCTCGGTCATGCCTAAAAGTTTGACTTCCTCCTCACACATATTTACGTTGAAGGGGAGTGATTCTCAGCCGTGGCTGAGGGTCTGAGTCCCTCCCCACACATTTACCCTGTGAAGAGAGGCCTTGTTGCCAACATGTATTGAGGCAGATAAAGATAACTGCCCTCAAGTAGACCAATCTCATTCATCCTTCAACCCGTA